GTGGGGCATCTGCAGTCTCTGAAGTCCAGAAAACGGTCTAAGTCAGCAACAAGAAAGAGCTGCCCACAGGAGCCTTATCCGTGGGCTTGGGGACCTTACACCTGCCTCCCAGGAGACCGCATGGTAGACAGGGTGAGCCGGCGTCCTGAAAGCACTTGGGAAGACTGAGCATCAACTTCATGTTATTTAAAAGGAAATGCAAGTACCTGGAACCTGGACACACCTTTGACACCTATTGACTCGGGCCAGGACTTTGCCAGGTGGACACTGTCACCTGCCGTCCTCTCAGGATCCTTCAGCCATCAGGGACGTCCCCACACGGGGCTCCGCTGTGGGGTGGGACTCACCTATTGCTCTGCGCCACCATCCTCCCTTCCTCAGTGGTCAGCTGAGCCCAGGGAGCCTGCCACTTTGGGAGGGGCCTGGAACCTGGGGTTGCTGGAGGGGCTCTTGGTTGTCTTTGGAACAGCTTGTCTGCCCCCTAGTGGACTTCTGGGGAGTCTGGCCAGGTCCTGTAAACTCCTTGGCACGGGACCTTGGAGATTAAATCTGCCTTATCCACAGGGAGACTAGAGGTCCCAGCAGGAGTGCGTGTGCAAGCAATTTCAGGGACAGACATGGAACAAGAGGCAGTGTGGCCGGGCCTCGGCTTCCCACAGCCCCAGCTGAACTCAGCAGCAGTGGGAACAATGGTACCCATTTCCTAAGGCTGCGAGGTTAGGCCCCTGGGACAATGTACAACCAACACACTCAGTTCAACACACTCAGTGTTTGCCTCCTGCTCGCCAGCACTCCGCCTCCCACTCTGAGAGGGCAGATGCAGGTGTAACAGTCTTTGAGCAAATCTGTATTTTCATGCAGATGCCATTTCCTTAAAGTGGGGTTCACCTGCCACCACAGTATCCTCCCCCACCTCTCCTGCCCTGTTCTATTTCTTCTCCCGCTGGGGCCATAAAAAGAGGACTTAAACCTAGCCCTGCCTTCAGGAAGCCCCGAATCTGCAGGTCCAGGACTAGACACGGTATCCAGGGAGCTGAGGGGGTACCTTCCCATAGAATGTGAGAAGGAAGGGAGGGCTTCAGGGAAGGCTTCCTGGGGGAAGTAGCAGAAGGAGGGTGAGGAAGAGTTGGCTGGAAGAGGTGAGAAGCAGAAGGGCTGGGGAGGAGCAGGCAGGCTGGTGCAGGGGTTGGTGGTAAGAGCATCTATAGCACTGAGAAGGGCGGTGGTAATAGAAGAGCAGAGGAGAAACTAAGCAGGAGATCACAGGAGCTGACATTGTAGGAAGGGAGGTTATTCCTTAAAAGTCTTGGGTTAAATAGTTTATTAGTTTGTTCTTTCATCAGCTCAACTTCACTAGCTACCCCTTTCTGGGCATTGAACTAAAGGGATAACTAAATAAAGTTGGTGCCATCAAATGAGGGTCAGGCATGGCAACTACAACTTGCATACAGAGGATAGTTGGGAAACAGTTTCAAAGGGCTTTTTAGGTGGACTTTGAAGAATGCATAGGAGTTCACCAAATGTTGAAAAATGGATAAAAGTATAGAAAGCATCTAGGTATAGAAAGCAACAAGAGCAAGGGGTGAACCATGAGAGATTTGAGGAAGAGTAAGAAATCTGTCATGGCCAGAGAGCTGTTGTCTAGAGACAGATGAGGCATGTTTAGGGCCTTGAATACCAAGCTAAAGTGCCTGGACTATCCCAAAGAGTCCACCCCAAATTGTGCCTGCCTGAAGAGCTATGAACTAAGTGGTTCCAGATCATGGGGCCTTGTGAGGACCTTCTAGAGCCCTGTGACCCCATCCGCTATAACAAGAACCCCATCCCCTAGAGATGCCAAGAGTGCCCCATTGCTGAGCAGCAACCCCAAGGGACAGGCTGTCGGGGGAAGATTGGGGGACTTCATAGGGGACCAGCTGGCACTGACTCATCACGAAAGTCATGACTTGGGCCCCATTTCTGGGTTTCCACCTGGGCAGGTGCACAGAAGCCCTATGCAAATGCTGGACCGGCTGTTCACAAGAGAAGCACCTGTCCTGAGAGCACCCCCAGTCTCACCAGAAAGGCGTTGTCCTCATCCTTGCTCTGCAGAAGAGAAAGAGCAGCGTGCCCCCTGAGGCCACCTCCTCTGGGGGCCTTCCGGGGACCATCGCTCTTTCTCTGGACTTTCAGAACACTGTGTGCCACTTCAGATGAGGAGACAGGTTGCCAGAGATAAGTCATGTCTCCCCTCTGAGCCTCTTTTGCTCATCTGAAAAGTGGGCACATTAACTCCCACCTCCAGCGAGTTTGTGGTTGAGATAATGTGTGTGGATCTAGCCTCTGGGCCTGGCCCACAGCAGATAGGAGGCAAATGTGGCAAAAAAACAAGGCCTCCCAGGGTGAAGGAAAGAGCCCTGCCCAGTCAGGTAGGCACTAGCCCTCCTCCTCTGTCCCCACCTTGGGATGATGGGGTTGCTATGAACGCCCCAGATGGAAGGGCCTGTTCACAGGCAGTGTCTCAGCTTGGAGCCAGAATTCTCTCCTAGTTCTGCCCAGGGGATCTCACAGGGAGTCTCTGAGGAGGAGCTGCCTCGGCACTTCTCTGCCTGGGCAGCTCCAAGGGCGGGCAGAGGACCAAAAGCAAGGAGACCCACGACTGGGTCCAGGTGCACCGCAGACAGCTCACACATTAACAGGGCGTGCACTTGAAAGCATACCACAATGTGGCACAGATGGAGCTTGTGGACATCACACCAGTAGCTGCCGCTGCTCGCGGCTGTGGTGCCCAACAGACACATTCAGACACACAGCAGACCCAGCTAAGGTGGCACACTCACGCCCTGAGGCCTGCCTGTACACAGATGCGCACACACAAATTCACAGGGACACACAAGCGCACATACAGGCATTCCTTGTTTTATGGCACTTCGCTTCCTTGTGCTTCACAGATACTGTGTTTTTTTACAAATTGAAGATTTGTGGCTGTTTGCCTCTAGTGAGTCTGTTGGCACTATTTTTTCCAAGAGTGTGCTCATTCATGTCTCTGTGTCACGTTTAAATAAGGCACACACTTTGCTTTTGTGGACATGTGATTGCACACTTAATACACTCCAGTATAGTGGAAACAACTTCGATATGTACCGGAAACCCAAACATTCACATGACTTGGTTGCAACATTTGCTTTACTGCCTTGATCTGGAGCTGAGCCTGCACTATCGCCGAGCTGTGCTTACAGACGCCAGCAGACAACAGGCACGCGGACTCCCACGGACCAGCACACACACGCAGGGCACACTGTCACTGTCTGCTCAGGACCCTTTGAACTGTGACGCCACGTAGCATACACAAAGCCACGTCATTCTGTTCACACACAGTGTACCTTTAGCCATGGCGACAGTGCGCCCCTCGCCGACAACACGCGTGCACAGCTGTCACATTTCACTATTGCCTCCTTTGACCTAATAGCAGACTCACAGGCAGGGCAGGGTCAGGGACCGGTCGCTGGGGGACGTGGTGGATGGAGGGTTAGAGGCCCCCTGACCACCCATGGTGGGGAAGATGAATCCTGGCTTGAATTCTGGCCTCCTTGTGTCTGCCCACCCCGCTGGGTCTCCATTTATCACACGTGATGCTCAAAGGTACACCAAGTCTCCTGCCCAGAGGGCCTCCCAGCTCACCTAGAGCAAATCCCCCTTTCAGATGAAGAGACAGAGGCCCACAGAGAAAATCTGCTGGCCTGAGCTGGGCTATACAGAGGTCGGAGGAGAAGCCAAGCACAGGCGCCCGTGCCCCCACCCATCTCACAGACATGGACGCACACAAAGGGAGGGCACGTCCCACACTCCCACAGGCTTGCTTGGGGCCTGCCCCGCATGGTATTTCCACTGTCCTCTCAGTTAATTCTCACATGACACGAGATGTAAGGGTGACCGCCTTACATTTTGCATTTGAGGAAACTGGGGCATAAGAAGGTTAGACCCAAACTGTGCGGGCATGAGCAGCAGTGGTGGTTCGCAGAGGCACGTCTGTGCTTTCCACCTCACAGGGCCCCATGCACACCTCCTCCACAGCCTTTTTCTCTCTCCTCCCTTACACACGTGTACGCGTACACTCGCAGCTTGGGCGCACAGCCCCCGGCAGAACATTCTCCAAAAGACCCCCCCCATCCAAGTTTAATTTGAGTGCCTCCCTCCCACCCAAGGGATTTTTTGAAGAAGGATGAATTTGTTTAAAGCTTAACCTTCCCCCTTGACCACTGTCCTCTTGCCCTGTCAGGGAAGTGGATTCCAGTGCCCTCTCAAATCACCCTCTGGGGTGCGGTGAGCACCCTTTGATGTCGAAAGTACTCTAATGAGTTAGTTGTGGTTCTTTTTTTTCCCCTTAAGACAGAAAACTCATTTTCCTAAGAACCAAGGAATTATCATTCTCCCCCTCTCCCCCGAGATTCTGGGAGCCCAAGTCTGGACTCCAACGCAAGGCTCAAAGACCCCCAAGGGCAAACTGGTGTGGGAAGGGAGGTAGCAGCAGCTGTGAGGTGCTGCTCTGTGGGGGAACCAGCCTATGTGACCTGTCAACACCCATTTTAGGGGTGACAAAACAGAGCCTGGAGCCCTGTGGCCTGCCTCTCATTACCATTCCTGTCTTGTTTTTGCCCCCTGGGCCACATGACCTCCCTTCAGCCAGGCCCCTTGGCTGGGTGGGTGTTCATGATGTGTGGCATAGTGAGCTCTAGAATAACGAACTCTGAATCGAAACCATTGTCGGGAACATAGCACTGCACGAAAGGAAGGCAATATTTCTATTTTTACTGTTTTTGAGGCAAGTTTATCGAGAGGATTCCTACAGTCACAGGTCAATGAATAGCACTCCACCGCACTAATTAATGAGCTCTGCTTGGCTTGCTAGGGGGCTCAGCAAGAGGAGACTCTGCAGGGAGAAGGGTGGGGGAGGGGCGGGGCAGTCCAAGCACAAGGGTCTCTGGGCTGGTGCAGGCCCCTGGCCCGCTCTGTCCCTCTCCTCAGGGCTTTGCCAAGTCCTTCCCTGAGCTCCAGGGCCCTGCAGTGTCCTGTCGAGCTTTGGCAAAGGCTGCCTTGATTTCTTGCTTTATGAGGTCCTGCCAGGGGTCCCTAGGAAGAAAGGAGGAAGACAAGGAATGAAACCACCGTCCAGAATAAGTGTTTAGAGCGACTATTGCTCACAAGGAGCCCTTTACTTCCTCGGCTTCTCTCGACTCCTGCAGCAGCCCTCTCCCCTTGAATTCTAGGGCACCGAGGCTCAGAGAGGTAAAATGCCTTCTCGGAGGCCACACAGTTGCTGACTTGTCTCTGTGTGTGACTTCCATCTGGAGGCCTCCCGGAGATGGGCAGCTAGCCCCAGCTCTGTCGCTTCCTCAGGACGTGACCTTGGGACACCAGGAGGTCTTAGGGTGAGGAGCTCTGTGACTTTTGGAGTATTCCACAGCTCCAGTGTGGTTATACTGGACCCCACCCTGCAGACACCTTCATCTTCTTGTTTGTCTCACGCACATGCCTGGAGGAGGGTAGAGCAGCATAGCACCTTTACACGGAGAGAGAGCAAGGCTTGGAGTGACGGTCACAGCAAGCTGGTAGGGGACACCTTTGAGCCAGGTTGGCAGGGGAGAGAGAGCAAAATGGCCACTGAGTGGTGTGTTCCTGTGATATGTGACAGGAGGCACCTCTGTGGCCACGGCTGCCTGGGTCATAGCTACACAAAGACATGGGAGGGGGGCTTTTGTTTCCTCCCCCGATCTCCACCATTCTCCCCAAACTCCCTCCAATATGTAAAGTAACTTCTGCAGATATGATAAATACATACAGTGAGGATAAAAACATTTTTAAAAGCTTGAATTTTTAAAAATCAGGCTGCAGCATACAGTTCAAGTAGAAATTCGGTACCTGCCTTATAAATGCAGCCCCAAGATAAATTCCCATCCAGTGGCACCCTAAGCCCTTCCTGCAGAATCTATATGTCTGTGTCTGTCTATGTGTCTGTCTGTGGAGGGGCATCTGGTGGTGTCTCCATGTGGGTGTATACCTGACACCCACAACAGGAGTAGGGCATGTGCACGTGTATGTATGCACTTGTGTGTATGGTTCATGTGTGAGTAGGTCCAAGTGCCAGGTCTCAGTTCATGGACCCAAGTGAGTTTGGAACACCCACCTGCCTGCCACGAGGCTTGGGAGGCTTCTACAGGGGATAGAGCTCACTGAGGCTAATCTCTACTCCTCCCTCCCTGAGCCAATGAGATGAAAATGCTTCTGGCACTTCTGTCCTGGAGTCACCAGCACAGGGAGCTTAGAATGACAAATGGCTGCCAGGCCTATAGATCCCCACTTCCAGGATGTAGCTGAGTCCAGGGGAGCTGGGGGGCCCAATGCCTGCTCTGCCAGGACCCTGCTGGGGAGCCAGCGGGAGCTTGAGAATTCAACGTTTACATTTTGGGGAGCTGGCAGACATGCAGGCACATCTGCTGGCCAGGCTTATGTGGGCAGGGGAAAGTTCCACAAACATGGCAACAAGGACTATCAGGAAGTAACAAGTCCAGGCACTGTATTGCTTGGGGTGGGGGGGGGGGGCTGAAGAGTGGGGTGAGGGTGACAGCAGACTCTGTGTAGTCTGTGATCAGTGTCACCTCATGAAGGCTGGAGCATCAGAGCTGAGGCCTGTAGGATGGAAAGGAACTAGGCCAGGCTGTTCCAGGGACAGGGACAGCAAACATAAAGGTCCTGGGGTAGGAAGAAGTTTAATGTGAATTGAGGAACATCAAGGAGTCCCCAAGCGAGTGTGAGCTGTGGAAGGTGTTAGAAACAAAGTTGAGGGTTGGGCACAGGCTGGATGGAGCAGGGCCTCAGAAGTAGCTTGAAAGAGTTTGAACTTGAGCCCATAGAGGTAGGAAGACCCAGAGGGTGTTTAGCAGGGAACTTTCATTTTGATTAAGTCTGTGTTTTATTTACAATATCACTCTGGCTGTCGGGAGCCTGGGAAAGGAGTTGAGTGGCTGGCAGAGCAGCATGGAGGTGGGACACTGGCAGGGTCCACTGTGATGGAGGCGGAACCAGAAGTTTCCAGAACAGTGTCTGGTTTTCAGAGGGAGGATGGCAAGGCCATTCACAAGGAGACAATCTGGAGGAAGGTCAGGCTAATAGGGCAGGTGACCACTGGGTCAGAAGATCTGAGTGGGCAACTCAGAAGCACACGATGGGTGTTGTCAGGGTCTGAATGGGAAGGGAAGCCCTAAAGAGAAGCCAATGGAACCCCAGCATTTAAAGGTTAGGGGAGTGAGCTGGAAAGGAGGAAGCAGGGCTGGGGTACCGAGGAGGCTGTGGAGGTGCGCGATTCTAGGAAAAGGGAGGGCAAAGGAGAAATGCTTCTGAGTAGTCAAGGTGAAAACAAAAACTGCTCATGGACTGTACCCTTCACGGCACCTCCGGGGACTCAGGGGTGGAAGTCAGACTGTGGGGGCTGCACAGGGAGTGGGAGGTGAGGAAATGGAGTCAGCGTCAGCAGACCGGCCTTCTGAGGACTGTGGCCCCGAGTGGAGGTGAGAGGTGGGGCAGGTGTCAGAGGATGTTGGGTCAGAGTGTTGGGGGAATAGAGGAGGCAGGAGAGGGCGCCTGTCCACATGCGGTGCTGTGGGGAGGAAGGTGGAGGACAGGGTCTGGGAGGAGAGGAAGCGGGCAGAAAAGGTCACAGCAGTTCTCTGGGCGGGTGGGCCAGCTGCCAGGGCACAGGGGAAGACCCAGAGATAAGAGGGGGAACTTGCCCGAGGCCACACAAGCCCGTCCACGGCCCTGACCCAAGCCCAGTCCTCATGTCGCTGACCCAGCAAGCGGCCGCACCAGGTCGCAGGGCAGAAGGACCCGGGCTGCGTGAGGCCTTCTCTGAGCACCAGTCGGTTCTGCTCCCAGGAGGCTGGCGTGCCTTTATGAAGAGGGCACACTTTCTTCCTATGCCAGCATGTGCCCATCCACGTACCTCCACCCCGCCCCCCTACTGAGTGCTTCTGGACCCCACTGTGTGTGTGTGGGGGGGGTACGGGGCACCCTGTCCTCAGGTACTTCTTTGCCAGGGGTCCCTGGGGTCTGGAGCCCCTGGGCACGCTGACGCAGTGGAAGAGAAATCGCTGCTGTAACCAGCGCCCCCTCAGCAACCCGCCCACGTCTGTCCATCTGCCTTGAGAGCAGGCCGTGTGGCTGCTGTGGTGCTGGTCTTTTCCCAGAAAGCCCACGTGCATCCCACACGTTTCTGGCCTTTGAGACGGAGGTGGGGAGCAGCCGGGTGTTGCTGAGAGGGCCATTTGGAAGTTCTGATGAAGGGAAAATTGGGGGAGGAACCCCGGTGTGATTGTGCTCTGGGGCCCTGGGGTGGGGGGATTGTCTCTCCTCAGGCTCAGCTTGGGGAAGGGTGAAACCTCAGGTCCCTGTGGCCCCCTGGGTCTTCTCATTTCTAAGAAAGTACAGCAACACCTGCCCCCCCCCCCCCCCCCCCCCCCCCCCCCCTCCCTGCCCTCTGGGGACTGTCCAGGGCATGGGTGGAAGAGAGGGAGGAATACAATGTTGCAGTAAAATGCTATTGCTTCCCCATGCTGCCCTCAGGGTGGGGCATGGGGTCCCGGGGGAGAGAGGGCAAAGGGAAAAGCCAAAAGGCCAAGAAGGAACAAGACTTCTGAGAATTTGTTTCATCTGGCCCCTAAAATGTGAATGACCTTTGCTCTATAAATTCCTTATTTGCAGAAATGTCTGAACGGAGACAAATGCCTGGTCAAAGGGATCAGCTTTTGCCTGTGATGGGCTCAGAAGGGCAAGATTCTAGATGCCCAGCAAGGAGGTGGTCCCACACGCTGCAGTGCTGCCAACATCCCCTAGGGGGCTTATAAAGTGCCCTGAACAGCAGGGGCAGGTGTGTGGGTGGAAATGGGTCATCTTATCGATTATGTTGGCAGCACGATCTCTTCCATGCCAAAGCATCAGAAACAGGCCAGAGGAGGCCCACTGAAGTGCTAACAGGGTTGTCTCTCACGGTGGAAAGGTGGCGATTATTTAATCTTGAAAGAATTCTGGGTTTTCCAAGTTTTCCTCACTAGGCATGTAATACTTTGATAACCAGACAAATCATAAATATCAAATTTCAAACAAAAGAGGCCAAGCTTTGGGGGGAATTCCTCTTACCCAGGCTTGATGTCCAGAGGCGGGGGAAGGGGCCTGGGGAAACCTGCCTTTCCAGACAGCCAGTAAGTCTCCTCTATGCCCTTGCCCTGGAACAGAGAAGAAAGGGGACTGAGCAAATCTGTCCGAGCAGTGAGCAAGGGCAGAGGCGCGATTCCAACAGCTCAGCGGAGCATCCTGGCGCCCAGAGGCAGATGTCGGGTCCAAGTGCTGACTCCTGCTAGTTATGTGGCTCTGGACAACTTTACCTCTCTGTGCTTCAGTTTCCTCAATACCTCACAGAGTTGTTTTGAGGATAAAATAAGTTAAAATCTAATTGTTAGAGAAGTAAGTGAACACTACATCATGAATTCTGTGATTAGCAGGTCTAAGTATCTGGGCAGGCAGTGTGAGATTAGAATCTTAGAATGCTAAGATGCCCAGGACTTCTATGATCTGTGATTCACCCCAATTATTGAGGGACCCGAGGCCTCCCTTAGGACGGGAGTGCAGTCACCTGTAGGTCAAGAGTTGAAGGGGCATGAGAATCCCCGGGATCTGGGCTGACTACTAGATTTTCTGTACCCCACACTGGGCCAGGGATGGATATGCAGCTCCTGGGCCAGCCTGGAGATTAGCATGCTGCCCCCCACCCCATGCCTTCTCTGTGTCCCTTTCTGTCAGCAGAGTCCTCTGTTTCTCAGGACACCCAGAATCCATTCTCACAAACAAGACACACCTGCTATGACATGTTCTAGCTCTCTCTCCCAAAACCCCAGCTTCTGGAGCAAGGATCCCACATATTCCGGCCCTCGTAGGCTATGTGATCATGGACAAGCCCCTTTTGGAACCACACCCTCCTGCTCTGACGTTCCACTGTGTAATGAAGTGAGTCTGGGGGCCTAGTCACCAGCCCAGGCCTTTAAATGTTTAGGCTCTCAGGGCCTCCCTGGTGTCACAAGGGGTTAAGTCTCAGCACTATGAAGCTATTGGCAGCCACTGTAGCATGAGTTCAATCCCGGCCAAGAAGCTAACCCACATGGGGCAGCAGACCTCTCCTATCTTGCCTGCTGCTCCCCTCAGCAGTGTATTTCAGTTAGTCTGCCTGTTCTGTTCCCCGCTCTGTCTCTGGTGAATCCTCTCACCCTTCCCCCCACCGCCCCGCCCTTCTAGCCTAGACCCCAGCTGTTGTATGCATAAATAAATCAATCTTTTTAAAAAATAAATGTGTAGGTTCTTCTAGTCTCCCCATAAAACCTGTCTCCAGCTAAGGAATTGGGGAATTCAGAGGGAGTGGGGCAGGACAAAAAATATTTATAGGAATAGTGTACTCTTAGTTCTATTAAACATTAACATTAAAAAAGACATACAGAGGCTACAGACTCATCTCTGCCTTTAAGGTGCTCATGGCAAGTACAATGCTGTATCACATCTACAACAGCAGTGGGCTGGTTGTGGGACTAGTGGTTACACAGAGAAAGCAAGAAGATGGGTATTTCTTGGTCAGGGCATGTTTCAACAAGATAATCTCTGTTTTAGGGTTCTGAGGGATGAGTAGGAGTCCAATAGTGCTAACAGAGAAGGCATAGGCTTTGGAGGCAGGCTTTCCAGCCAAGATCTGGAATACAAACTGTGTGACTTTGGACAAATCACTTTGCCTCTCTAATTTCCTCAATTATAAAATGGGCATGTCCATCCTGCTTTCATTATTTCTGTAATAAATATTTAATATATGTTGTGCATCCATGTGTGTCCTGTTAGGTCAACAATAGAAGTAACTTCTCTGCCTTGGCCCTTCTCCTCAGGAAGAGACAAATGAGGGAGAGGTGCTCAGGAAGAAATTTCTGCAGAACTTGGGAAGTGGAGAGGACATATGAAGGTTATCCGCTCTATTCCCCAACCCCAGGCCTACATTTCTTTTAGCCACACCAATCAGATGAGAATCTCTTCTGTTGCCCACAGAAAGTGAACCTTCAACGATTTTCCCTATCAGTTCCAAGAGAGAAAGTCCCTCACCTTTAATTCAGTCGGGCCTCTGATGTCGATTTTGTAGCCTTCATCCAGGCTGAGCAGTGTCTGGACAGTGCTTCTGCTGACGTGAATTCTGTAAGCTAAGAGGAAAGGCAGTTTCAAGTCACCACCTGGTGGCAGTATACCTAGTAAAATCATTAAGCCTGGAACAGTTCCAGTTCCAATTAGTAATACACACAATTCTGATTTATGTAATATGCAGTTCTTGGCCCTTTAATCGGTAGTTGGTTCCTAAAATAGAGACTTTGAGGAAAAACAGATTATTTAGATCAAGGGCTAAGAGGAATTCAAGATGAAGTCAGAACCTCTAGGAACATAGTTCCTACTTGTAAAGATGTCCATGAAGGCTGAGTTGGTACAGATAAGCAGTTTATTTTTCTTTTAAGAGAAGGACTCCCCAGTGAGGGCATCACATGTAATTATGTAGAATGTGCACTGAATGGGGGAGAGGAGGTAGCAGGACTTCAGCTTTTTCTGTTATTCTAATGAAGCCACAAGGGCAGCTTCTGCTGCCAGCAAGGGTCTAAAAAAGTCATTAAGAAAAACTGGAAGGGGGCCTCCCTGGTGGAGCAGCAGGTTAAGACGCAACCTGTGAAGCTGTCCGCAGCCTCTGCAATGCAGCAGACCTCTCCTGTCTCGCCCGCTGCTCCCCTCAGCAGTGTATTTCAATCTGCCTGTTCTGTTCCCCACTCTCTCTCTGGTGAATCCTCTCACCGCCCCCCACCTCTGGCCTGTACCCCAGCTCTTGTATGCATAAATAAATAAATCTGAAAAAAGAACTGGAAGGGCTCTTCTCATTGCAAAGAATGGGAAAACAAGACCCAGAGGAAGAATATTTTGCTAAGGACATTAAACAAGCCAATTGCAGGCCGGGATAAGACCCAGGTTTCCTGACTCTCAAGTCATTATTTTCTATCCCAATTCTCTCGTGAGATCATCACAAGAACCCTGTGGAAAGTTAAAAGTGCCGGTGACATAGATCGTACAGCGTTTTATGACAGCTAGGGTACGCCGCCACCACCTGGTGATTTGGTTACTAAGCATCGTTTCAAATAGCAGAATGGAAATATGAGATACTCACGCAGCCCTGTGGATTCCATCCGGGATGCAGTGTTGACAGTGTCCCCAAAGAGACAGTACCGAGGCATGGTGAGACCCACGACCCCTGCTACGCAGGGCCCTGAAACCCAAACACGCCAAGTGAACTCCAGCAGGTACTGGCTCCAAGAGAGGGCCCAGTTAGAGTCTTGCCCTTCCTATCCCACCTCTGGGCTCCACTCGGGGAGGTGAGGATGAAGCTTTCTGCGTCAGCCCAGAAAGGAGATTCTGCCCAGCCCCAAGGTCTTCCTGGAGGAAGTGGTGCATGAGCTGTGTTTCAGAGGATGAGAGAATGAGTGGACAGGGGACTAGCAGGTGCAAATGTACAGAGGCAGAGACCCCATGTCCCAGCTGCAAGCAGCTGAGAATAGATGAAGGAGGACCAAGTGGGAAGGGAGGTGATGGGGCTAGGAGCAGGGAACTGGACATTTTCCTGCACGTGAAACTAAGGAGGGCGCCTGGGCTAATGGCACAAAAAAAGAATGTATTAGACATCCTAAGGTCTCCTCCAGACCCAGCACAGCAAATATTTAGTTGTTTGCATGACTACTGTCCTCAGTCCTGCCTCCTTGGCATAGACTTAGATGCCCTTGATAGAGGTTGAGACGAGAGAGAGAGAGAATCAAGCATCCTCGATTCTGTTATTTATAACATCTCAAAGCATTAAAGAAGTGAGAAAAGAGGGAACATTTTCTTCTCTCACAGAGTTTTAGAATCTCAGACTTCCAGAAGCATGCCATTGGAGTTGCCCCAGTGGGGTTGGGAGCCTGGTCTGGCCCACCACCCCTGTCCGTACCTGAGTGCAGGCCAGCCCTGATGCAAATGGGCACGCCGGGTGCGTGCCGCATCCTGAAGTCTCCCACAGAGCTGAGGATGTCCAGAGCCATGTTGGCGACCTCAGCTGCGTGCCGGCTGCCGTTGCGCCGAGGCAGCCCCGAAGCTACCATGTAGGCATCTCCGATGGTCTCCACCTAGGAGTCACAGCCTTTATGCTCCAGCATAAGAACACACCTCGCTGGCCTGTCCCCCATTCCACACGAGGCACCTCTCCAGGCTCCTGACACACTCCTTGCATCTCTGGCCCATGGTGACCTCTCCCCCGGGTCTCCCGTTAGCCAGCTAGCAACAGTTGCATCAGCACAGCTCCGATGGCCTTTGTCTGGGTTCCAGGTGACCACACCTGACTCACCTCCTCAGACCCCAGGCTCAGAGCCCTGTGGCAGCAGACCCTGTCTGCATGGTGCCACCGTGGCAGGTCAGGGCCTCATCTGCAGAAGCATGGAAATATTGGGTGTATATCCTATTTTTCTGAATCGAGTGACCTCCCAAGGTGTACTGGGAAGAACATGAGTTTTGAAGTCAGATGGTGTGGATTCAAATCCTGGCTCCATCAATTACCTTGGCAGACCACTTCACCTGTGTGAGCCTCAGTTTCCTCTTTTGTGGAATGTATATTAAAGATAAAGCATTTAAAGTATTTTAAAGAATCACAGAATCTCACTAAATGAAGACTTCTGTCTATCATCATCATTATTATTTCCTTGGGGAAAGAGAGTATCCCAGAATCTTGCAATGGAAGAGATTTTAAAAGTTACCCTCCCACCTTCCCAGTCTGCTCAAGTCTCTTGATGGAAAGTACCATCCCTTTCGAGGTGGCTGTTTTTCTTTTGGCAACTCTGATTTTCAAAAGTTGAGTTGAATTGAACCCTGCCTCTCACCTGAGGGTTCCTGACCTCACGATCCTTTCTTTCATGTCCTCTCTGTTCCAAAAGCCCTCTCTAGGAGTTGAGGACACAGATATGGAGGAACTGTAGTCACTGTTGCCACAAGCCAGGTCACCCAAAGTGAAGACAGTGACTCTGGCCTCTCCTCTGCTGGGTGAAGCGCCCAGCCCCTGCCCTGTTGCTCCTACAGCAGACACAGGCTGGACCAAGCGGCCTCTTTTAGCACCTGGTGGACTCTCTCTGCCCTCCCTTGGCACCAAGTAGACAAAATAATGATGGTGATGCTTCCCTCGCCTAGAAGGGCCACTGTAATTCCTAAAAAGTTGGGCCATGGCCTACTCTCTATGCCCCCCAAGTCTCTACCTCACCTGGGCTGTCCTCTGCCTCACCGTGGGGAGATCTGGCCTAATCACGCCATATTCTGCTCATATACTTACATTTGCTGCCTATGACCAGTGGTTTGAAATTCATGCCTCATGCTCTAACAATAAGGGAAGCCACGATTTGCAAAATCTCTTGACTTAGTTCCAAACAGTGGCTTTTAGGTCCCCAGGCTTCAGCCAAACAGGAACCCTTTCTACTCTCCACAAGTCACTCAATACTTGCTCACCAACGTGCCCTGAAATGTGCTCACCAATGTATCCTCTGCCTGAAATGCCCCCCTGCCCAAGACGGTTCTCGGTTGACATCTGAGCCCTCCATCAGCCCTTCTCACACCTGAATGAGTCCAGAGCAACTTCCTGGTCACCAGCTGGGAAAAAGATGTCTCCCTCCTCAGAGCTGTGATCTCCCTCTCTCTCCCTATTATCAGCTGTTGTTCATGCAGCATTTGAGGGCTAGAGGTGGTGGGTGGAGCAGGGCTACCCCATTGTGTGCATTGACCTTCCATTCAGTGCCCCCAGAGAGAAAAATCTAAGTGAGCCCCAGCTTTCCCCGCCTACCTTTGTCCCCTAAGGAAGAAGCTTGTATTCTGTGATTGGCAAGATTGGAAGGACTAAGTGTTCCCGCGAGTACTAACGTTGCAATTCTTACATGCCAGACACTGTTCCAAACCCCTACAAATATTATTGCATTGGGTCTTCACAAGGATTCTGTGAGGCAGGTACTATTATGATCACCACTTCGCAGGTAGAAATTTGGCCAGAAAGGTTAAGTCACTTGCCAACGTCACACAGAGCAGATTTGAACTTGGTCCAGCTCCAGAGCCCACACACCATGCTCTCTTGATCCTGCCTCTCCTTTCTTGGGGAGGATCTGCCAGTGTGTGAGATTTCCTCTACTCTCCCCTGTCCCTGTTCAACTGAGCTGCGATTCGGAAACAGTGTGCCTGCCTGGGGACCCAGTGCTGCCTCAGATGGCTGCCCCAAGTCCAGACTGGGGAAGAAGGGCAGTAGGAAGTCCCATAGTGTACACCCATCCAGAACACATTCTTCAACCTGCTGAAGCCAACCTCTAGCCTTCCCTGGCCTGCTGCATGCATCAGAAGGGAGGGTGCGGTGTAATTAATAATCACCCTTACAGCCTGACAGAGATGACCAGCACAGGCCATGCCCTCTAGACAGTCAAACTTGTAGAGACCATCATCACTCAATCGCAGTGGGCACTCGATGCCAGGGAGGGCCAGGTGTGGCCCCTTCTCAGATGAGAGAACACAGCCAGGGGAGAGGTGAGAGCAAAGGTTTCCATGCTAATAAATACAAATACGAATTCTAACGGCCACTGGCTTGCTGTGTGACCTTGTGTGAGTCACTAACCTCTCTCTCTGAGCCTGCACCCTCATCTCATCTCGGTAGAAGTAGGGATAACTAGGGATAACGATCCATCCTTTTGAGAGGCATTGCAAGGGTTCAATGAGATATCCTGTGATAATCCCTAAACTGCAACCCTCGGTTCCCACCCCAGTTCCATGCCTTCAGGGGGAGACCTTGGCGCCTGTACCACATTGGTGAATGAATAACTACTTAATTTGCAGAACAATTCTAAGCCACAGGCATCTGCACTTCTGTTTTCCAAAGGGGGAACTCAGAGTCAGAGAGGTAAAGTGATTTGCCCAAAGGCTGCTCAACAGTGTGACTGGGGCCAGACTCACGCCCGCCCCTTCCTCCAAGGGGCTGGGTAAGTCCTCGCCTCCCCCCACAGCCACATGGCCTCTGCTCTGGAGTCACGTCCATAAAAGTGCTCACCCAGCGTGTGCTGGGAGGGATCACAGACCCCCACAGAACCGGGAAATGATGGCCTGGCTGCCTCCCAGCCCAGTCTGGATTAGAGGGCAGTAACCAGATCCTGCTGGGGATGGAGGGGAAACCGAGGCGGAGGGTGTGAGTGATGAGAGACGCGCTCACACATCTTGACAAATGGCTCTCCTGTTTCCCCACATCTGGAGGGGTGTGCGGGCCTTGTTTTATTTCATTTTACTCTGCCAGAAAGATGCAGACCTCTTGGCCAGAGTTCAGAGCAGATCAGAAAGCATGATTCAGAGCTGGGAGGGACACATGTGTGAGAAGAGATTAGCAGGGGAGGAACAGACAGGCCTGGGATGACTCAGGGCACATCAAAGCCGGGGGGCTCAGCCAGAGGAGATGAGGAATCTTTTTCTGGGACCCATGGGGCCAGGGTGGCTCTGAAGGCAAGATGGAAACCCCGTCGGCGTGAGAGATGACACCTCGAACCACAGGCAGGGCAGGAACATAGGGTCCTGAAAGTAGACCTTGAGAAAAGCTACGTCCTTGGGATGCCAGTGGCTCAGGTCTGCAAGGGCCGGAGTCGGGCAGTGTGGTGCCAGTGGACGGAGCTGGGCTGTGGACACTGCAAGTTCCTCCCTGGCTCTGCCACCTGCCAGCTGTGCGACCTTGGGCAAAAGTCTTCTGTCTCTGGGCCTCAGTGAGTTCCTCATTCAGTCCGCATATTTCTTGAGGCCCTATGATGTGTTGTTGGACATTGGTGGGCGCTGGGGACAGAGCGGTTCAGGCTGGAACCATAGAGTCTGGATTTAGAGGTAAAGTCTAGGGGTAGTAATGAGGGCATCCCCCAGGAGCTCCTAGTCCTGGCTGGGAAGGCAAGGAAGCTAACCTGAGAGCAGAGGAGGACAAGAGGGAGGTCGTGTTCTGGGGCAGGGGGCGGGGCTGCAAGTGCACAGGCCTTATGGCTAGAGCAAAACTATGAGAGGAACGAGAGTCTGTGGAGGTAGAGTGGCCAGGAGGAGCTCAGAGGGCCTTGGGGCCACGGAACCTGTGCTTGATCCGGAGAATACACGTGTTATGGATTTGGTGAGCACCTCTGACAGGGCAGGGAGGGTCTTGGAACCAGAATGCCCAAGTTCAAATCAGGGCTTCACACCCCCTGGGAACATGCATTTAGGCCAGTCCCTTCATCACTCAGTTTCCTCATCTACAACGAGGAATGTCAGTACTGCTTCGTGGACTGTTACGATGCTAAAGTAGATTAATCCATATAAAACACTTAGACTAACATCCAGCAAACTGTGTGCACTCAATGAGAATTAGAAATTATTGTTGTTGGGATACTGTAAATAAGCTGCCAGCAGACTGCCTGCCCTTCAAAGAGTCAGTTCTCTAAGAAATTTCCTGCCAGGCATTCTTACCCCAGGTTTCAGCCCCAGAGCCAGGCCATCTGCTGTCCCCACCTCACTGGAGGACTGTGGCTAGAAGGGGACTGGCAGGTCGCAGAGGCTAAGGCCAGGGGAGCCTGAGGATGGCTGTTTTCTGGGAACTCCCTTCCACTTCCACCAGCATGACCGAAGCTGACCCAAGGCCCCCAACAACTGGCCAGAATAAGGGGCAAGGTTGAAGTGGGAAGGTACAGCAGGTGTAGAGAGAGAGGAGGCTATTCACTGTTTACACAGCACTGCTACAAGGGGAATAGGATCCACCCATCATCTGTGACTCCCCAGGACAGGGGTCATTATTCCAGATATAGAGATAAGGAAACAGAAACCCAGGGAGGGGAAGCCATTTGTCATTCACTAGGGTGGAACTCAAACCCAGGATTGAGAAGTGTACAGGGAACTGATCATGGAAGGCGTTTAGGGCTCTGCCCAAATCCCTGATGCTCTCCTCCAGGGTCCTCCACTCACCCACGGCTCCCACTGGCCCACTTCACGTCCAGCCATCACAACACAGTCAACATCTTCTGCACACACCAGACTCATCATCTTCTGCGACCACTCCCACACAATGTTCAGGGACAGAAAGGGCACCTCCTCCAGGAAGGCTTCCTTACTCTTTATGTTCTACATCTATCCCTAGCTGAAGTAGGGGCCCTTTCAGTCTCTGCTGCCTTTCTGATCATTTTGTTTACTTTTCTTGTTATTCCCTTTTTTTTATTGTCTTTTACCTACAGCACTGAGAGCTCCTTGAGGACAGGATCCCTAAGACAGGAGCTGACTCATCTGCTCTTACACAGGGTCTGGCACATTGTAGCCTGCCAATAAAAGCTTTTTAAAAGGGCAGGTGAATGAACAAGGGATCTCTGTGGTCCATTAAGTGCACCCCTCTCTGTATCCACACCTATTCCAACAAGTCTCTGAAGTTTTTCCCATAAGAGGTGGAATTTGTTTCCCTGCCTCCTGATTTGGGGCTGACCTTTGGTTTGCTTTGACTGATACAACATGTCAGAAATAACAATGTACCCAAACCCAGCTTAGAACTCAAGAGATCCATGCTTCTGCCTTCTCTCTTGGAAGTATCCACACCTTGTGAACAATACCCGCTAGCTTGCTGGGGGATGAGAGACTAGTGGAGCAGAACTCAGTTGTCTGAACCAAGGTTCCAGAGATGCGCTAGAGCCTAGTTAAGATCAGAACTTCCCTTCTTACACCCAACCACCACAGATGTGTGAGTGAGTCCAACTGAGTTCAGAGAACTTGCCATGTGACCCCTAGGCTTCTGTAAAACACTGTTTTACAGTACTGTGTTTGGGGAGTGTTTGCTACACACAAACAGCAAACTAACAAAAGCACGTAAATGAGTGACCAGAAGTAACTACATGACACAAACACAGCAGTAAGCAAGGAGAGAGGAAACACCCACCTACAGAACACTCACCTTGTACACGTCATGGCTGCCCAGAACAGCATCAAACAGGGTGTAGAGGTCATTGAGCAGGCCCACCACCTCGATGGGCTCGCTCAGGGCTGAGATGGTGGTGAAGCCAACGATGTCACTGAAGTATATGGTAACCTGCTCAAAGTACTCAGGCTCCACAGTCGCCCCCATTTTCAGAGCTTCAGCCGCAGACCTGAAGGGATAGAAAGGACCAGATTCACAGATGGGGGACGCCTTTTCCAGTTTAGAGATGTGGTAGGGATACTTGGGGGGAAATCTTGGATTTGGGTCAGAGGGTCTGGACAGGTTTGCTGGTGTGCTGACTGCCCTCTAGCAAATACCTGTCCCTCTCTGGACAGCCTCTGAGGTGCAGTGGCGGATGTTGCACCCTCTCCCTGCTTTCAAAGGAAGGAGATAGTAGAAATTTAATACATTTGTGCCCAGCTAATTTCCTGCTGATATTTTCAGGACTCTGCAAATATCTTGGATAAATTCACAATGAATGAATTGAATGAATTCATGGAACCTAGATTTCCTGAGCATCTGCTATATTCTAGCTCCCATGCTATTCTAGCTGTTGGGGCTACAAGCACACTCAAATCCACAGGGGCCACTCACGGAGGGAGCATCTGAGAGAGCAGCCTGTCTGTCTTCTGCTTCTCCAGCTCCAGTTCCTCAGTCCGCTCCTGGATCAGGTCCTCCAGGTTCTGGGAATACTTCTCCAGCATCCGCAGCATAGAGTCAGCAACACTGGTCTTCTTGCCTTGAGTAATGCTTTTGAACTGAAGATGGAATGAAAATCTCAGTTCATCCAATTTACCCCAGGTTGGGTGTCTGGGCCACAGGAATGAACCAGATGCAGTCCTTGCCTGAAACACCTGGACCGATAGCAGCAGACACGCAATAGACAGGGGATGTTGTTCTGACAAGGGAATGCACTGTTTCTCTTCTTGTTCCATAAAAATTTAAGTACTAAGAAAAATAAAATGATACCACAAAAATAATAAATATGTAAAAACACTGTTCAAAAGAAATGTTTTTAAAAAGGTCATCTATATGTAAAATGCATACCAGAATTTGTCAAAATTTGAGATAGGAGTTCCCTAGCAACAAAGTAAAGAGAGAACTATGATTATGTAATCCATGGTATCCATGAGGCAATGAAACATTAAACTAGTTGTTCAAAAGAGACAGCTATTGCTGGTGCTGAGCAGAGAGAAATACTCTTGTCTTTGCATAAGGACATCATGTGTGGCCATAAATTATACCCTCAACAACATTGTTTTGGAAATATTGAAGCAAGTTTCTGAAGGAGATTTACTAGAACTTCCACAATGTGGTTAGTTCCTTCCCAATAGGAGAAAAGTAAAAAGCAAAAGTGATGAGATTTATTCCAAACTCAGCGCCTGTGTGTGTGTGTGTGTGTGTGTGTGTGTAGATGTACAAATCCAACCTCCACTAATGCTACTTCTCTCAGCAAAATGTTTGTGAATTGGGGAGTGGCACCCCTAAAGAACACCTATTTTGCATTGCCCACTAAAAGTGAAGGCACAAGTTTAAAAGGTCAAACAGGGTGACTGACAGCTGCTGACCTTGAAACACCATTCCTCAATGGACATAAAACCAATTACAAGGCCACCTCTTATAATTTTATAATTGAATTTATAATTTTATAATTTTATAATTGAATTTATAATTTATAATTTTATAATTGAAGAGTCAAAGGATCCAGGGAATTAAAAAACTTGCCAAACACAACGTGATGGTGGAACGGAGTTTCCAAGTGACATCTTTTATGTATTAATATTATTATCAACCACCTTCATTGAATTATTTTACCATTTGGAATTTTTTTCTGTTTTTTTCCTTGAATTGCCCAGGGGCACAGTCACAGGATCTACAAATAACAATAATTTTCTTCTTCCTTTCTAATCTTCATTTTCTTGTTTAATTGCACTGGCTAATACTCCCAGGACAATGTTAAGTGAACATGAAACAAGGTCTTTTGACTTCGAGGTCCATGTTCCTTCTTCTATACCTCACCCACTCTCACCTTCTTAGAAAACTACCCTTTGTTGTTAAACTTAGTTATCTCACATGATTGTCACGCCAATATGCTAAGTTAGGTCAAAGTTAGTTTTTCCATCTAACATCTCAGGAAGATGAGGCTCAACAGGGCAGTCAACTTGGCCAAGGTTAAATAGTAGGTAAGTGGCAGCCTGGATTTGAATGCAGGCTTTTGGGTCCTTAGCCTCCCCACGTGTGATGCAGTCCCCACCTTCTGTGTGATGCCTGTGGCATGTACCCATCTCTCATCTCTGCCACTGAGCCCTAGACAGGGATCTTTTCTCGCAGACACCCCTCCCTCTCTCAGGACAAGGCCTCCTCCCCCACCCCACTGGCCAGGGCAGTCTCTGAGGCTGGAGAGATTCCAGCCTGTTGTTTTAAGTACTGGTTACTCATCCTAGCTCTGCAAGCACTTCACAGCTGTCGCTGAGAACTGCTTTACTCTGAGGTCCAGGTTTCTCATCTGTGAAATGGGGATCCCACCCACTCCCATTGCTGGAGCTGAGCTGTGGAGGGGATGTGGGAAGCGGAGGTGTGGGAAGCTTTTCAGAGGACACCTGTGGTTTTGCTCTGTCTGTCTTCCTGCCCCTAGCTCCCTCCCTCGTTGCCTGTCTGAACCTCTCCTTAACAGCATTCCTCTGTGGCTGGGAGTGGAGGGTGGGAAGAGAGGCATGCAGATGTCACCTTGGGCTTGATGGGTTGGCACTGTGGGAGCCATTAACCAGCTCAGTCAGGCCCATACGCTCCACTGCCTACAAACTTGCACAGACTTGCCTCTCCCTTCCCACTGCAGTCCCCAAGGCAGGCCTGGGGAGCCCCAGGACCCCTCATATCTTCCACTCACTGGTGCGGGGAGCCAGAGCTGTCTCCAGAGCCACAAATTGCACCTCTGTTCTGGTGCCAGGGGCCCAGTGGCTCTGCAGACAGACAAACCTGGGTGGGGTACCAGCCTCACCTTTCACTCCCTCAGTTACCCTGGCAAGTCCCCTCACCTCTCTGTGCCTCAGTTTCTCTCCTGTGATGCCAACATAATAACAATACTTCTTTGGAGGGTTTTCAGGAGGGTTAAATGAAGCAAGCGCGGCATCGAGCACAGGACTAGGCACTCAGGAAGGCACTCAATAGATGTCCCCAGAGCCCAGCTCTGAGGGAGCTTTCCTCTGAGAGTGGACCCAAGCCCACCCTCAGGGACAACGGTGCTAGCCAGTTGCCACCTTTCCAATTCCACATAGAATTTCTAGCCCCAGGGATAGTCTGAGACTCGAACCAGGCAACGCGAGCAGCCTCTGGGGAGCACTGACCTGGTTGTAGATCTGGTCCAGGCTGGGCCTGTCCTCTGGAGTCTCCTCCCAGCACTGCTCCATCAGCTGCATGCACTCGGGCGGCCCGTGGTCAGGAGACACGAGTGGCCGGCACCGGGGTGGGGGGGACACCACTTTCCTGACAATTTCTGTAACAAACACCCAGAGACAGCTGGACCTGAGGTTCCCCGGGAAGGCTCGTGGGAGGGAGGGAGCCTGGGGTCCTGAGAGGGAGAGCAGGGTGACTGGGGATGTGTGGGGAGCAGACCCTGGGGATACTCCTTGGGCCCCAGCTCTCTGCTTCCAGTCACACTGGCCCGTGGACACAGGTTGGAGCTTGAGGCCTTCCTGGATCTGTCTGTGAGTGTGGCCAGGAAAGGGTTGCAGATGGGGCGGGGGGTGTAGTGGGGAGTAGGCTTAAGCAGGATGTAAATTCTGGACCTGCCACCACCTCTCTGTGTGACACACGGTAGACTAGACAGTGACCTTTCTGTGCCTCAATCTCCCCATCTGTGAAACAAGCTTAACAAACTGCCTTCCAGAGAGGGTGTAGAGGGAGATGGTGGCTGTCAAGCACCCGGCGCAGGAGGTTGTCACCCAGCCCCAGGCCCCGCAACAACTGCAGTTGCCCCGTGGCCAGTGGCAGCATGCTGGGAACCTTGACACTGTGGCTCTTTCCACCAGCCCTGCCACCTGGAGACCTTCTGAGTCAACTCTCCACAAGTGTGAAGCAAGACTGTGCTTATCATCATCTTCATTATTATGTTCCCAAGAAAAGCCCGGCCCTCATCTTCCTGCCCCTACTCCCTGTGACAGCTCCCATCCGCCTACGTTGAGGTCAGACACATCAGTGTTCTCATTCTGGCCCTGCTGCTCGCCATCACCCCGTGCCTCAGTTTCCCTACCTTGTGGAAATAAACCCAATGCAGGCAGCTGCTATGCAGGTGGGAGAGCCGAGGGATTCAAAAGGAGGAAGAGGGGTTGGGCACCAAGTTCATGGAGGGGTCTCCCAGACTCTGCAGTCACGCTGAGCACAGGCTATGTCACCTCTCAGATGCTCAATTTCCTCACCGATAAAGGGGCATAATAGTAATGTACAGCATGGAAACTATAGTTTTATACTGTAACACATATTTGAAAGTTAAGAAAATAAGTCTTACAAGTTCTCACAAAAAAAATTTGTTGCCATATGTTATATAGCTATAAACTCTGGCGACTGGCTAGACATATTGAGGTGATCACTTTGCAATATGTACAAATATTGAAATATCATGCTGTACACCTGAAAGTAATATAATGTTATCTGTCAATTATACCTCCTCCCAAATAAAGTTGGCCTATTGGGCTAATGACATCTTGCTCTTCGTTATTTTCACCCTGAGTAAAACACATAATAGTCTCCATTCCAGCTGCAGCGAATAATGCTTGCCAGAGAAACCATCACCATATCCCAATCTCAATAAAGTCTAAAGGGGCCTCCCTGGTGACGCAGGGGATTAAGCACCGTACTGTGAAGCTAGCTGCAGAAGAGTTAGATCCCCGGCCGGCCAGAGAGCTGACCCACAAGGTGCAGCAGACCTCTCCTGACTCTCCCACTGCTCCCCTCAACAGTGTATTTCAGTCAGTCTGCCTGTTCTGCTCCCCATTCTGTCTCTGGTGAATCCTTTCACCCCCTCACACCTCTGGCCTGCACCCCAGGTTTTTTTTGTATGCATAAATAAATAAATCTTTTTTTAAAAGTCTAAAACTTCAGCTTTCAAGAAAAAGATTGGGAGGGGAGATGACATTAGTACAGACCCCAGAGGGCTGTGATGAAGTGTAGCAGGTTAACCTTTCTGAGTGGGGCTGGGATCCTCCTCACCCAAGAGAGGAGGTGAGGAGGAGGCCGTGGAGCTGCGAGCACAAGCTTTTTTTTTGGATTTCAATCTCCCTCTCATGCCTTTGTTGACTTTCCTATTGAGGGGTAGTATGTGAGTCATTGTCCCATTTTACAGACAAAGGCAACTGAGGTTTGGGGGGAGGGGAGGTCTCTCACAGCCACAGGGCTGGTAAAAAACCCTAGAACTTGGCCTGATCTCTCATCTGCCCACTTTCCCAGGTGCCAGAGGCATTGGGCCCAAGTCCTCCTGGGGGAAGGGCTGGGAATCTGCCTGTCCTTGCAAAGGAGTGTGTGCAGATGGAACCAATAACACACCACACATACTCTTTTCTTCAAAAGTATTCAGATAGTGTCGTGATGAATAAAATACAAATCCACTTCAAACTGTTGCCGATTTCAAAGCAGATTTTTGTCTTGGGGTATTTTTTCGATCCGCAGATATTAAAAGCCAAATAGCATGTGAGACTCTAGCCTCTCCTGACATTCACAGGGAGGCCCAGATGTGAGTGCGCTGCAGAGCACCGAGCCAGGCGGGGAAGGTTCATGTTTCCTCACTGCACCAGGCCCACGGGTACACACAGTGCCTCGCAGCTACGGACCCGCGGTGCTGCGGACCGGTGGGGGGCGGGGAGCGGGGAGCGGCATAAGGGGCTGCACCATCAGCTCCATAGTGGAGCTCTGGGAAGATGCTCCAGAGATGACCCAAGAGCGTGAGGGCAAAAGACTGAGCGTAGGTCAGGGGACTTGTGCCCAAATCCCAGGCCAAGGTTTCCTCTTTTCTCCTCTCTGAGTCCCCATTGCATCCCCTCTGAAAAGAGTGCAGTCGCCCTCCTTGTCTGGAGACTGCAAGTGCAGACACATCCAGCATCTTAAAAAGATGTCATCTGAGAGGAAGCAGGCCTGCTTCCAAGAGGGTGAGCAGGGCAGGCCCTGGGATCACCTGTGAGCAGCCCCCTGAAGCCACCCAAGCAGGTATTTATTAAGTGCCCATGAAAACCTGGCACGTTGTCTAAAGCATCACTGAATCCTCACATCTGCTCTGGGAGGCAGGCCTCATGGTTCCCATTTACAGATGAGGAAACTGAGAGTGCAAAAGCGATTGACTCAAAGTCGTGAGGTGAACAGGCTCACAGCTGGGCTTAGGCTGGTGTCTTTCAAATCCTGTGTTCTTAACAAGACTTCCCTGAGGCCGGGGAAGCACACCCAGGAAGTAGTAGGCCTTGGACTCACACCCCAATCTAAGGGTGGCCATGAGGTCCTGGGCCTGGTCCCTATACCTAAAGCCTGGGGGAGACCTGGCCTGTGGACCCCACATGGGCAGCAGGACTTTCAAACGCCATCTGGCTGGTCCTCGCCTGTCCAGCAGGCGGACCGGGTGGGGGCAGCTCAGGACGGTTGAACAAATGGCCCAACAAAGGCCCCTCCCCTTCCCGCTCCCCCACCTCATAAATTTGGGGCCAGGAATGCTCATTATTCTCTAAGCAGTGCTTTGTGGAGAAAGGAAGCAGGACCAGGCTCTTTATGAGTTAGAGATTATGCACGAAGAGTGGAGGGGAAGGTGGGCTTGGCTCCATCACTGCCCTGACTATGGCTGAGATGTCAGGAGTTCTGGGGGGACAGGTCCCCAGAACTGGACAGAGACTACAGAGGGACAGCTGGAGGAGTAGCTGCAATCCCTAAAAGAAAACTCAGATGAGGAGGAGATATTCCTACAAAGAGAGAGAATGTCTAAGACAAGGTGATAATGGGGAAGGTGTGAGTGGTTACGCCATACACCCAAAAAGATGGGGACAAAGATGCTCTTGAAGGCACCCCACCCGGGCAGAGGACCAAGTCTCCATATTCGAATAGCTTGGCCATATCAGATATGGGCAAGATGCCAGGTACATTTTTATTGGATCCCCATTTTAAAGATGAGGAGGCCAAGGCTCAGAACAGGTAAGTCATTCCTCACTCAGTAAGTAGGTGAGGCCTGTGTTGACACAGACTATGTCGGGGCAAGTGACTTGGTCACCTGCACCCTCCACAATGGCACTGGGAGAAAGAGGAACCAGATAGAACTTTCACCCAGAAACACGTATTTATTCCTGGAGCTGCTTAGTTACCTGGCTTAAGGCAAAGAAATCCAATACTCATGGTCAAACCAGGCTTGTGTGTCTATTTGGTTATTTTTAAGCCTGGGTTTCGTGGCGGTCTCCGAGCTCCCTAACTACATGGGGACTCTCATCAGGGACTGGCCAAGGGAGGAGGAAGACTCCGTACCTTCTGCCGAGAGCCCCGAGGAGCAGTAGGGCGGGCCTCGAGTCAAGACCTCCTGCAGGATGATGCCGATGCTGAAGACATCTCCTTTGAGGGTGCCCCTCCTGGGTGCCCCAGGGCACCGTAGCAGTTCTGGAGCTGTCCACAGCAGCTCTGCAATCACAGGGCCAGGCCGCATTGGATCACCCCCTGACCCTCCTGACCAGGCGCTTTCTGCTTGTGGCTCCATTGACCTTCCACATGATTCTGGAAGGAGATGCTTCTGTTCTCCCCATTCCCAGCCAGAGGAAAAACCATCAACTCTAGGTCATGGTTCAGAGGGCAGGAGGTGATCCCCCAACCCCACCGCCTCACACACATCTGTTTCAGAGGCCTCCTGGCAGCCTCCTACCCGCCCCAGAGCTGACCTTCCGAGGCCGGCCTGGGGCAGGGAGTCCGCTGCGCATCCAGCAGTTCCGCATAACCGTGGTCAGTGACCTTCAGCACAAAGCGTCCATCCACTACACAGTTTCGGGACTTGAGGCGGCCATGAGGGAAATGTCGATGGTGCAGATACCGCATGCCCTGCAGTGGACAAAATGGGCCTCCGTTGGGCTGTATGAGTGAGACGAGCCCCTGGTCCTCTTAGAATTCTCCCAGACCCCAGGAAATCTTCCCGCTCCCCTCACTCTGCCACGCTGTTTAGATTTTCTTAGGTCAAGTGAAAGAGCCCAGGTCTGGCAAATCTGGGCACCTCTTGTCTCACCACCCTTTCCTGTGCCCCCTCCCATCCCTGCAGCTCCAAGCCCAGGGAGGCTGCTCACGCGGATCAAGTCCAGTATCAGGGAGGACTTGAAGGTCCAGTCCAGCTGCAGGGCCTCGTTCCGCAGCAGATCCTCCAGGCTGCCCCGGGCACAGTATTCCAACACCAAAGCACTGACGCCAGGGGCCACAAAGAAGCCCAGGCAGGCAGTGATGTTCTCATGTCGCAGCTCCCGCATCTGCTGGAGCAATGGGCACCTTAGCAACCAGAAGGAGCTCCTTGAAGGATGAACCAAGTTCAATACCCATCTTGTCCCCAGACCTTACCTCCCAGTTGGAACTGAGCAGGGAGACATCAGAAGTTTTGATTGGTGGATGGGTGGATGGACACAGAGACGGACAGATGAATGAATGGATGGATAGACGTATGTTTGGATGGATGGATAGAATGGGTGGTGAGGGGGGTGGGTGAGTGGACGGATAGATGAATAGATAAATGGATGGAAAGAAGAATGGATGAAGGAGTGGAGGGGTGGAGGGGCAGAGGGCCTTCAGAGATGTTGATGATGTCTTCTAATGACATTGATGGAGGGGGCAGTGCCCTGTGGTCTTGGTGATGATCACATTGGGATGATGTTGTGACTCTGGGTGTGCTGGGATGTGATGGTGACAGTCATGTGACTGTGACATCCCCATTGAGGAAGGACTCATCCAGACCAGCAGGGGTCTCCTGACAGCACCCAGCACCCCCAACCCCCTTCCATCTCTCTCCACCCTACCTTTCTCAGGAGGCTGAGGCAGCTGGGCCGCAGGTCAGGGGCTGTGCCAGCTTCAAACTTCTTCAACCACACCCACTCTCCCTGTTCAAGGAAGAGCAAGAGTTCATCCGCTGCTCTTCACCAGCCATGCGACCTCAGGCCTATCCCTCGGCCTCTCTCAGTCTCAGCTTGCTCTCCATAAATGTGTCCTTTCTGTGTGCTCTGAGCTGGGCAGAGCCTGGCCGGTGAAATGAAAGTTAGGTGTTTACTGCAGCCTGGGAAGTGGCAGGGCCCAGCCTAGGCTCAGACCCAGGTTCTAATCCTGACTTCCCCACTGTCTAACTGTGTGGCCTCGGGCCGGTGGCGTCAGTTCTCTGAGCCTCCTGTTCCAGCTCTGTCCAGTGAGGATGGTACCCCCCATGCCCCCTATATCACCAGGGCTAAAGAGATGGTGAACATAAAGCATGTCAGTGTTTGGCTCCCAACCCTGACGTCAGCTAACAACCAGACACCCAAACCCGGTGAAGTGGCTCAAGGGTAGGACAGGGGGGAGGGTGGGAGAGGCAGGGACCTCAGGCGGGGACCCTTTCCTTGCCCAGCCTGGCCCAGAGTGGGCAGTGCCCGCAGCTCCTTCTCCCCTTGTCACCGATGGGTGAAGCCTCCTCAGCCTCATTCAAAGCCTGTCAGCTAACTCAGAGAAGCAGACAGAACATGCTTTGTGCAATATTAAAGCCTCCTTTGAGCAGAACAAAAAAAGAAATAAGAAAAAAGATGACATTCCCCGGGGAGGTGGGGTAAAAGGCAAGAACTTCATGACACTTCCTGTGGAAACAATTCAGCCCTGCTCATCGCCCCTGAGAATCAGGGCTTCAGTGAGTAGTGAGTTGTAGAATCTGAGAACCATAGCACCTGAGAAAGCACCATGTCCTAGCAAGGTTAGAATTGTGCTGGTCTAATCTCTGACCTTCCAGCTTCCCTGCCAGCCAGTGGTCCAGCCTTGGCCCAGGGGCTGGGCTGGGCTGGGTGCTGTCCCCACACAGCAGGATCTGGGGTGCTTGGGTTCCATGGCCTCTTGACAAAGCAGACAGGAGGGTGACCTAGGCTGGACTCCATGCTGAGAGAGGCCCTGGTATGGATCACACAGGCAAAGCCTGTGTTGCCCCAGGTCAGACCATGAACCGCAGTAGACTGGAAGATACAAGTCCTGCTTCTTACTTTGTGCCCTGCCACCTCCTTGCTCTGGGGCCCAGGACAGTCACTGCCCTGCTTTAAGCCTCAGTTTCCCAGTCTGTAATCAGAGAAGGGCACACAGAGGCCAGAAAGGAGAGGGTTCCAAGGCTTTTCCCACACTGGCTATGGCTCCCAGGCCTGGGCATGGCAGTGGTAGAGGCCCTTACCTGGTACAGGGCCACATTGGTAGGCTCCTGAGGGGCTGGCAAGCTCCTTGATGACCCCTGGGCCACTGACCTCAGGCTTCCTCCATCTGCCACACTTCTTGATTCACTCACACTGTCCACATGCAGCCTCTGTAGGGGCCAGGCATGGTCAAGAGCCTGGACTAGGCCTCAGTTCTTGGCCTGCCCACCCAGCCCAGTGCCTCCCCCACCCACCCGTCTGCTCAGAGGCCGATGGATGAAGGTGAGCTCCTCAGCTGTCAGCAGGATCCGATGGGGGCCCCGCACCAGTCGCAGCTGCTGGATGCCCCATCTGTAGGTGAGAGAAAGCGCAGGGCAGAGGATGGCGTGAAAGTGACCACCCACTCAGTTTAAGCTCTCCCTACCCTCTCTCTGTTTTCTGTGCTGTTTTCCCAGCAGTCCCAGCTGCACTGAGAAGTTGCCTTTGGGTCCTGCCTCCAAAGAGCCCCTTGGCCCCAGCTCTGAGCTGGCGCCCCCAGCCTGAGGTATCTGCTGGTTCCTAGCCTCATGTTCCAAAGTTGCCTGGAGGTCTCACAGGGCAGCCAGAGCTGCCTCCTCCTGGAAGTGATGAAAGTCTTAGGGACACAGAGGACCTCAGATCCCAGGAAGAATTTTCAAAACTGAAGGATGGTCCCAGGGGGTCATCCTGGCTGAGCCCCCATATACAGATGCACAGCCTAAAGCTCAGGAAGGGACCATCTCATGTGAGAGCCCAAGTTTCTTTCTTCCTCAGGTCTCAAATGGACATCCTCAGGAGGCCCCATGGTCTTGGCATGGCTTAAAGCCCTGACCCGAGGCTCTAGGGTAGACAGGAGTGTGGGCTGTCATGGGAGACAAAGAAGGAAAACCCTTTGAGATTGCCAGGGCTGTGCAACCTGCAGAGAGACCCTGTGGGGTGTGTGGGGTGGGGGACAAGAGCGAGGCTCAGGTGCAGACAAGGTCTTACCTCATAAGGCAAGTGAGGGCTCCACCTGCGAGTAACAAGCCACAGGCCAGGACCAGAGAGAGGAGACTGCCGGGGGGCTGCAAACCTGCGGGGGAAGCAGGGCAAACGTGAGCCCCAACAGTAATGACACAGAGAGGACACCCCTCACTCCGTTCCTGCCCTGACTCCTTAGGGCTGCCTAGGAAATAGGGACAAACCCTGCCGCTCCCTCCCCAGGGGTGAGGCTCAAAATGGCCCCAGGCTGGGAACTTGTGTCCGTGGCCGCTCACCACGTGCAGGCCTTGGGTCCCAGCACTGTGTCCAGTGGTCGCCTCAGTGCCCTGCCCCAGGGCCCCTCGCGCCCTGCTCGGACTCCACTACAGTCCTGACCACACGGTGGCCTTCTGCCTGCCGGCACCTCTGGCGCGTTCCCACTGGACTAAGACAGCTGGCGGCAGGGCGCGGCCTCTTTCATCTGGTATCCCTGGCACCTAAAACAGAGCCTGGACAGAGCAGGTGCTGAATAAAAATGTCTCTGTCCATCGTTAGCCTCTTGCGTGTCCCCCGTGGGCCACGCGCTGCCTGCTTTGGGGGTCAGCTCCCCCGCCACTCACTCCGCGAGCCCTCCTTATCCTGAATCCAAATCTCCAGCCGTCACGTCAGGCTAGGATGAAGGAGGCTGCTGGGGTCTACTTTGCTTGGACAGCCCTGGCATCTGTCTGGGCTGGCAGAATGGTAAGATGCCAGGCCCCGTTCTTGGAAGAGGACCATGCCCTCTGGGCCTCAGAAGGGGAGCGCTGTTCTCTCTGCCCCTGCTGAGGGCCCCAACTGAGTTTGTCCACATGATAATAACAGCAGCGCAAGCCTGGCAGTACTTATTATCATGCTGGGGTGCATTGTGCTGCACCCAGCGCCTGGTCTACGGGGCTTGCACACCAATGCCGTTATTCCTGGCAACGACCCCTGGAGGGCGCTATGGCCATGCTCACAATTTTGCAGAGGAGGAAACAGGCGGATGAGTGGCTGACCCCGTGGTTTTGCTCTGGCGTCCCATCACTGCAGCGCCCTGTCTCTCACCCAAGACCCTCGGAAGGAAGCGTTGAGCCCAGATCGGGAGGAGGTGAGGGAACACGCGTGCACATGTGGTGAGAGAACATTCCGGGCTTAGGGAGAGGCCAGCACAAAAGTTCTGAAACAGGAGCGCGCCTGGTGCGTTCAAGGGAGAGCAGAGCAGAAGGAAGACCGAGGGCAGCGTCTGGGGGCAGTGCGTGGAGAGGTCCACCGTGACCACTCTGGGCAGGGCCACAAGCAGGAGGCCATGCTGGGTGCCCTTGTAGGAAGGGCAAGGAGAGGTGAGGTTTGGGGCAGGGCAGGGACAAAGGGAAGCCTGGTCAAACCTGAGTTCACCCACCAACAGAGCTGTAAGCAGGTGCACCTCAGGGTGTGGACACTTGCTCGCACACTAATGTGTGTGTTTAGCTTTGTATATCTAAGCACGAGTCTGTGGGTACAGTTTCATCGGGGCTGAAACTCTGGGATGGATACAAGTTTAGGCATCAGAATAATGTCTCACTTCCCTGTGGTCATAAAATAAGAGAAATTCTGCACTTGTAGTCAGTAGATTTGGGAATGGAGTAACCTCAGCTGCGTGACCTTGGGCAAGTCACCAAACTTTTCAGAGCTTCAGTTTTCTGCTGGGGCCCGCAGAGGGCAATGACCTTGTCACAAGGCTGCTGTGTGGTTTAGGAGACTGAGAGATGGGGGCACCTGCAGCAAATGCTCTAGCCCTGCTCAGCTGAGGGGAGGCCTTGCCAGGCTTTCCTGGCACTTTGCAACGGTTGGTTTAGTCTTTTCAACAGTGTCAAGTCTCTTCTTTGTACCTTTTCTTGATGCATATAAGACTGTCATATGCAGAGGCTCAAAGAATGGATGGTGCATGGATGGACCAATAGGCGGATGGATGGATGGGTGGATGGATGGATGGATGGATGGACAGACGGACAAATGGACAAAGGGATGAATGGGTGGATGGATGATGGATGGATGGATGATGGACAGATGGGTAGATGGATGAATGAAGAATTACCTCTCATGCATAATGTGTTGGGGTCAAACCAGCATTTGGAGTCTCTGGCCGGTGGGACGCCTCCAGGAAAGTGTATGGCCCTGCCCAGCGGCTGCACTTGCCATGTGCCTGTGTCCAGGATGTGGGTGGGGACCAGCTGGCTTCCTTGACCATCTGTGTCCAGGATCACGTACTGAGCCAGCCTCCTGCCCTTCTCATCTGTCCGAATCCTCTGGCCACAGCCAGCCACATCCAGAGTCCTTATGTGGTCCCCTAAGTGGGCCCCCGAGAGCCCCGTCCTATGGCTCTCAGAGCGGTTCAGAGCATGGGCCAGCAGCACCACGGCATCATAGATGGTTCCAAAGAGGGGGGACACCTGAGGAAGAGAGGATCCTTTAATCCCATCACTCCCTGGCACAGATTTCCAGACATCTCTGAGTTCTGAACACCTGCCAGCAGCAAATATTTGGATTACTTTCCCTTTTCCTTCTCCTTACCCCAATACAGTCCTCTCTTCGGTCCCTCCATTACCTCAGCTCCCCTCAGCAGCCTCACTGTCCCCCCGGCCACCACCATCATGACAAGCACCACCACCACCAGATCTGATGTCCCCAGGCCTATCACGTCAACCTAATATGTCCAAATAAGAAGTTCTGCTTCTAGAGGTTCTGTCTGGTTCTATCTATCAAACCCCGCTCCTCCCACATTTTAGGAAATGGATCTACCACCTGAACAGTGTTGCAAGCTCCAGCATGATTCCCCACACCTTTCTTTCTGTCCTCAGTTCACCATCAAGCTTTTTACTGCTTTCTTTTTCAGAATTTACTCCTAACCCACTGTCTTCCCACGGCCTCTATGCCCACACCTGGGTGCCAGCCAGCCCCTCTAGTGGGTCCCCTGGACCACACAGGAGCCTCCTAAGGTCCTCCTGGCTCAATCTGGCCCTCCCCGTGAAGCAAGCAAAGTGATTTAAAAAATAAATAAATAAACCAAATAATTAAAAAAAATAATTAAATCACTCATGGTGTTTCTCATTTCACCTTTGAAAAGTTCCGATTCCTCATCCTGGCTTGAGTGCCTCTCGTAGTGAGGGCCCAAGTTTATCTCCAGCTCCTCTCACCCCTATGCTTGAGAGCCCAGCCGCTCCATACTCCGTTCTGCCTGTTCCTGTGGCCATTGGAGCTCATGCTGCCTCAGGGCCTTTGCACTTGCCATTTCCAGCTGGGTAACTGTCCATCCACAGCCTGCCTGTTGCCGCTACCGTTCAGCGCTACGCTCCAGTGCCACTTCCCCAGAGCGGGTCTCTCTGTGTACGCTCTTTCTCGATGTCCACCCCAGCCACTCTTATCACTCTATCCTGTTGTATTTTCTTAGCACATTATTACTATTTGAACTTGGTTTTCATGTTACACGGTCTGTTTCCCCCAATAGAATAGAAGTTCCTTGAAGGTCAGATAAGTCTTGTCCATCGCCATGACCGAGACAGGCACAGTAGCACATGAGGGCCATTTATCAGATAAATGACTATTTGAATGGCCTCCCACCAGCATCTGCATGCCTGTCACCAACTCCAGACACTGGTCTACTTGTCACCAGGAAGCAGACACCCTGAAGGAGACTCAAGCAGCTGAGCCCCAAGCCAACTGAGCTGGCAGCCACACACCATTCCCCCTTCACATGCCCAGCAGTGACTTCAGAAAGCCTCCCTCCCTCCCACCCTCCCAACAGTCTCTGTCTGATCTTCACATTTTGCTCAAAATTCAGAGAAAGAAGAAGAATGTTTGCAAGAGAAAGAGTAGATGGGAATTAGAGCAATGAGTTGGAGGTAGAAAAATAGAAGCAAGAGAGACATAACAGAAAAAATGATGAGGCAGGTCAAAAGAGTGAATATGGGCAATAAGAAGGAAGGAGAGAGAGAGAGAGAGAGACTATACTCTGGGACCATGCACTTTGTCAAATAAGGGACAGGCCATGTGCCCACAGTGGAGCCAGGCAGCCTGGAGCAGGTGGGGAGCACATGCGTACCTGTGTGGGCCCGTGGGAGGTCTGCACTGACCTACCTGCTCTGGCTCCCAGCAAGCAGCCTCCTCTGCGCTGACCCCAGCAGCTTTGAAGGCCTTGTCAGCAGGAACGGACTCCAGGCTGATGGTGAGCACAGCATCGTAGACCGCCTGCAGGGGTCCGCCATCACCCAGGGCTGGGTAGGAGCGGTTGCGGTAGGGCAAGGCGAAGAGCATGGTGTCGTAGGGCAGGAAGACCAGCCTCCCGTCTGCCAGGCCCTGGGCCCAGGCTTGGCTCAACAGGGCCGTCTGCTCGGAGCCCCCCAGGAGCGCCGAGTGCATGCACAGCACCACGACTGCAGACAGAGGGGGCAGGCTCACCTTGGCAGGCCTGCCCTGAAGCCCTGGAGTCTGGCCCCTGGGGGCTGCTCAGAATGTTCAGGTTTGCCCCCTCCTTCTGCTGACAGTTTCCCTCTGCCTCCCATCAATCTGGGGGAAAGCAAAATTTCCCCTCATCTGCTCCCTGTCTAACAGTAACAGCCATGGCCACCAAATCAGGGCTCAACCGGTGAGAAAAAAAATTCCCTTCAACTGATGGTATTTCATGCTCACACGTCCTTCTGGCTGCCCATCCAATCATTTGACCCACCCTCCCTCCATCCCCTGGCCCTGACCACTGCTGAGATTTATCAACAACTTGCTATGTGTTATCCTGAATTACTTTTGCAAACATTTAGTCTTTCCGCATTATGACAGCACTGGGAAGTATGTTTATCATGAACTACTGTCAGCTGAGGTGCAGAGAGGCTAGGAGTCACCCCCAGGATATGTTAACCACCATCCTAGGAAACTCAGCATTTGAACCTGGGCAGGCTGTCTCCCATTTGAACCTGGGCAGGCTGGTTCACAGTTTTTAGAGTTTTCTTAAAAATTGAGATAACTCACATCCATTAAAAGCATTCAATTCAGGGCCTCCCTGGTGGCACAGTGGGTTGAACGCAGCGCTGTGAAGCTGTCCGCAGCCTCTGCAGCACAGATTTAACTCCCGGCCAGCCAGGGAGATACCCCCATGGTGTGGCAGACCTCTCCTGTCTTGTCTGCTTCTCCCCTCAGCAGTGTCTTTTGGGCCGTCTGCCTGCTCTGCTCCCTGCTCTGTCTCTGGTGAATCCTCTCACCCTCCCACACCACTGGCCTGTACCTCAGTTCTTGTATAAAAATAAATAAATCTTTTTTAAAAAGCATTCAATTGAGTGGTTTTTGTATATTCACAAAGCTGTGAAACTATTTAATTCTATTTAATAGCACTGTTTAATTCTAGAACATTTTCATCACCCCAAAGGAAGCGCTTTCCTCTTAGCAGTCCCTCCCCAATCTTCTCTTTCCCTAGCCCTAGCTCACCACCAATCGACTTTCTGTCTCTGTGGATTTGCTAAATCTGGTCCTATCATGATTCCACAAATGGAATCCTGCAGTATGTGGTCATTTATGACTGGCTTCTTGCACTCCACATAATGTGCTCCAGGCTCAGCCATGGAGTAGCTGGAGCAGAATGTCATTCCCTTTCCTGGCAGCATGCTATTCCCCTGTGTAGATAGACCGTGTTTTGTTTATCTATTCATCATTGGTTTGCAATCTCTGTGGCCCTGGTGGTGTCTCAAGGCCTAAGCAGACATGAAAACCTTCCCCTTTGCTTTAGTCAGAGAAATAGGTGCTCAGTGATATGACAGCCAATTTCAGACCCAGACGCCCGAGACAGAAGGGAGCCCCTGCCCAAGGCATGGGTCTTCTGAATCATGGGTCCTGACCAGATCTACAGCTCCAACCAAAAAGTGGCCAGTGACTACTGCAGCCCCTTTCTCCAGAAATTTCAGGAAAGCAAAGCCAACAAGGAAAGCCAAGGGGCTCTTTGTTGGAGCCTGAGGATCTCTCCTCATGTGGAAGTCTAGCCTGGAGTCCCGGCCTTTGTTGAGGGTAGGGAGGAAATAGATTCAGGCTTCCTCTGTCTCTGGGTTTCTGTCTTTCCCACCAAAACCCAACAATCTCCTGGGAGCCGGAGGCACTGTTCTGCATTTGGCCACAAGGAGGAGCTGATCCCCACAAGTGGGAGGAAGTGACTGACAGGTTCCTGGGAGGGCACTGATTGTGAGCTGTGCGCTCTGTGTATGCTGGGCACTGTTCAAAGCCCTTTATCTGCAGTACCCTGTCTCATTTCACACTCTAAGGTAGGAGCTTTCAGTAACTGCAGGTCATTGTTGAGGAAACTATTGCACAGAGAGGTCACACAGCTGAGGAGGTAGAGGCAGAAGTGGGTCTCTGGTCATCTAACTCCAAAAAAATGTGTCCATAACCACTCTGCCTCGAGGCTCCTGTGAACCAGCACTATGGCTGGAATGGGGTAGAAAGGGAGTCTGTTGCAGCTTCCCCCACCCCCGCTACCCACAGACACAGAGCGGTCTATTCATTCTAGTCGTGAACATGCTATCGCCATCCCTCTGCCCTTGCTGCCCCTCTGCCTTCTCATTTCGGGCTCAACCTTATGTTACCTCCTCTGTGAATCCCTCCCCACCCCCAGCCCCATGGGCTCCTCTGTGCCCTGTGTGGACATCTATCCTGACAGACTTCAGCTCCCCCCACCCCTCGTGTCCCCAGAGCTGGGCCAGGGGCAGGCACAGTGCCCTGCGACTTGGTTGAACAAAGTATTTACAACGCACTTGGCCACACACACCTTCCTGTGACCCTGTAAGGGGGATTTCGTTATCCTCATTGCAGCTCAGGGCTCAGAGAAGTGAGGCGCCATTCCTAGGGGTGCAGAGGGCACACCTGGGTCGTGCCTCATTCTCACTTGGCTCTGATGCCCTAACCTAACACCAGCTCAGAGGCTGCTCAGCCTGCCCCTCCTTGCTGGCGCTGGCCTCGATTTCCTCAAATATAGAACATGCCGTCTGGTGTCAGTGTCTTTCAAATGTGCTGTCAGCAGCCAACAGTACAAAACGCTTTTGCCCTCGTGTGCTCCCGGAGTGAGTACTTCAAGCTTGAGTGTTCCCACAAACTGAAGGGAAGTTTCACAGGACAGGTTTCCCTGCCCCTGCATGCGATGCACACTCACAGGTACTCCTGCTGTTTCTGTTTTCTTCCACTCCTCTCAATCCTATTCCTCTTTATCTTCTTCTATTCCCTTTTTTTCTTTTTCTTTTCTTTTTTTTTTTTCTATGTGTGATGCTACTCTTGATTCATTAAATTGTCTTTTAAACTCAACTGGGCCACAACTCACAGTCTGAAAAACCCAAATCTAGATGAAATCTAAGGTCCCTTTTATCTTTCAGGTACTACCTCTCCCCTACACTCTGCCCACCACTCCTCTCCCTGGTTAATTACTCCCTTGAAGACAGTTGGAATGTCACCTCCTCCAAGAAGCCTTCCAGATCCCACAGGCCTGGCGCCAGGCCTCCTCCTCTTCTCCAAGTCTCTGCTCCCTGGGGTGGCTTTGACTTCTCCATCATAAGCACCTGCTATGCACCCGCTTGCCCATTAAACATTTCCCCCTTAGAGAGACCAGTCACTATTTCTGTCTTGTTTACCCATGCAACCCCGCATAGGATTGGGGGGTGGGTCTTGAGAAATGTGAGTAGTCAACTGATCAATCAACAAGTCCATGAATGTTAGAACTCTAATTCCAAGAAATAAAATAAACATTGGCTCTAACTCCCTTCCTGGGGTACTGCTGATCCTCATTTACCTCACTGTACCAAGCAAGAACCAAAAAAGCTCTCAGCTCCCACTCTATAGCCAATGCAAGAATCAGAGCTCAAAATCTGGCTCTGGCACCACTTGCCAGGTGTGTGACTTGGACACATTACTTCCTTGAGCTATAAGGTATAGTACACACCTCAGCAGGACTAGCTCACAAAGCTGCTGGGAGGTTAAATGTAGGTTCATTGCCAAGTGCTTGGTCCCATGCCTTGTGTAGTCAGTCATAGGAAGTCCAAGCTTCCCACGGGGGAAGGACCCGCATACACTTACTTTTCAGGCCGTCCACACTGCAGAGCTGTTTCAGGACCTCTGTGGTCCCCTGCTCCCCAGGTCCCAGAGAGGTCACCAGCCCCACAGGCAACCCATGCATCCTGAGAGTCATGGCCACCTGCCGGGCGGTGGCCACCCAAATGTCCTGGTGGGAGGACACAATGGCCACTCGAGCCCAACCAAAGTGTCTCATGATGGACAGCAACACATGGGCAGCCGAAGGCAAGGTGGGCACCAGCTCACTCCCTCCTTCCAGAGCCCCACATGCCCAGGAGAAGAGGGTCTTGCCCCAGCCTTGGGCCAGCAGGGCTGCTGCTGGGCAGTAACCAGGATTGACAGGGCCCACAAAGGCAGCTACAGTGCTCCTGTGGGTCAGGAATGTGGCCAGGGCATGAGGAGTGTCACAGTCTGTGGGAAGGACCACGGAGGCCAACTGTGAGTCCAGCACCAGTGACGAGTCCTGGTTGACTCGGTCCACAGCCAGCTGGGCAGCCGCACTGGGGAAGGCCTGGGCGAAGATGGGATCACAGTCCCAGGGACCCAGCACCCCGACGGTGAAGGTCCCAGCCCCCAGGGCCAGATCAGGGAGGAAGCCAACCCAGAGGAGGGTGCCCCAAGGCATCACGGAGAAGAATGGCAGAAAAGAAACTGCCCTAGGATGATGAAGATTGGACCCCCACAGGCCCTGGCAGGGAGGGCAGATCTTCCCACGCTGTAGCATCTGGTACCAACCTTCAGGGTACAAGCACCCCTGCCATCCTGGGAAAGGGAGATAAGAACAAGGTTTGCTTTCTAACATTTTCTGACAACACTTCCTACATGATTTTGAGGCAGCCACCCGTTCCCAGAAGCTCAGCCTCCTTATTGGTAAATGAGGGGGTGGAATCCATGATGTCTGAAGATCCCCAGCTTCAGGACTCTAACACTTCCCCCTCAGGACTGGTTCACAACCCGTCATGCCCTGGGCTGGGATGTGGGATCCGCAATCAGAGCTGCCCAGGCTGGCTTGCTGCTTGCCACACTGTGGCCCTAGACTAATCTCTGAACTTTTGGAGACTTGTTTTCCTCTGCTGCAAAATATGAATAGTGAAACCTAATTTATGGAATTATTATGATGATCGAATAAATTGATTAGCACAGTCCCTGCTACTCAAGTATTAAAGGAATCCTGTTCTGTCAAACTGTTATGGTTATTTCTTCTTTCCTCATCCTCCAAGGGGGGCCAGGTTCTCCTGGCATCCCTCAGAGCCTCTCCTGCCTCTTATCTTCAAGGCCAGCACACCCCACAGCCCTTGACTCTGCTTGACTCTGGACCTATAGCATAGGCAGGGCCTGGGTAAGAGTAGCTCTCCCACTGTCTGTGGCTAGAGGGTTGACAGTACAAGTATCCCCCTAAGAGCCCTGTTAGACAAAGGTCGTCTATCCTATTGTACAGATGAAAAACCAAGAAAAACTGAACAGAGTTCATAGAGTGAAAGGATTTGGACAAATCTGTTCAGCTCATTTCCTGCCCTGGCCTCCTTGACTAGGACATTTGGACAAAGCCATTCCTCAGTCCATCTTACTGCTCCTCCTGCAGCCCTGGAACTCTACCCGCATCCCTGCCAGTGCCCATTCCTCACCCACAAGACCCAGCCGTGTTCCTTCCTCACCCACCCTTTATGCAGCCAGCAGCCTTCCATGGTGGGTGTCCCAAGAAGGCATAAGATCCAACCTCACCCTTAAGAAACTGCCATACTGGTGGGGAGGCAGGTCCCAGCCCAGAGAAAAACTGACTACAAGGCAAAACACTAGGGAGACTGGACCATTGGGGAGGTTCTGAAGGCTGAGGAGGGCTCCTGGAGGGCTTCCCAGAGGAGGCACACCAGGACAGCTCAGGACAGTAAGGGCACTCTCCAAGTGTCAGTAGCAATGGTCTATGTAGAATTGCTCCTTAGAAACTATGCTCAGTGCAGATGAATAAGAGCGTTGGAATCACACTGAGGAATGAACCTTGATTTTACTCACTAGCCCCGAAACTTGGGTAAGATTCTTAACTTCCCTGAGCCTCAGTGTCCTCCTCTGTGAAGTGGAGTGAGAATAGCTACCTGATAGAGTTGCTGTGAAAACTAAAATGTGTAACGTATCTACAAGGTGACTACTCATTGTCATAAGCATTGTCATAAGTTTTACTAAATGGAAGGCGCTTACAAAAGTACCGTTAGTACTGTGCCAGGCAGGTGCCTTAGCAAGTAAGGTGAGTGCTCTCTAGATGGAGTAGTGATCACCATCATTACCATCTTTGGATCTTTGAGGGGAGGTGCTGGATGAGAAGGTGGGAGCCCTGAGTTCCAGCCCCTGCCCCACTGGATGCCTCAGTCTCCTCATCTGTAAAAGTGGCCATTCTGCAAGACTGGTCAACCCTGGGCCCTTCTGGCCTGTGATACCACAATTGTCCCCTGTTGGGGCGGAGTGCCTCAGGAAGGGTTGCTCTTCTGCCAGCCTCTGTTGCGTTCTGTTCCTCCCTTCTGCCACGAAACTCAAAGTGGCCTCCCGGCATCCCTGCCCCATGGGATGAACTCCTTGGAGCAGCTGGGCTTGTTGTGGGTTCTCAGAGAGCTCACCATTTCCAGCTGGGGACATCTGCATATGATGCTGATTCTAATGACAGTCACCTCTTCCCTCACTTTGTGGATCTGTGATCCGCTGCTTGGCCTGCTCCTCCCAGAAGCTCCAAGAGAGATCTCTTACCCTCTTTTTCACAGGAGGAAGCTGACTCTGGCTGGGACAGTGACTCATCTGAGGTCTCATCAAGAGTTTGGGCTGAGTTAGGACTAGACATATTTTCCCACATTTAGGCAAAGATGAAAATCGCCTCTTGTTATTGAACACTAGAGTGGAAGGGCCGCTGGTGACTTAAACATTTACATCAAATTCTCTGTGTACAGGTGGGGAAACTGGGGCACAGAAAAGTGTGTCCGTTTAGCCCTAGCTCTGCTGCTGATGGTGTCCATATGCTTAGCACACCTCAGTTTTCCCATCTGAACAGGGAGGACTTAATTTAGATGTTCAGGAGTCCAGATAGCCTTTGGCTCTTATGTTCTGTTGGTCAGTAAAAAATCAGGAAATAAGGGATTTTTGTCTTTGACCAGTCACACCCCCTCTCCCTACCCTTCCTTCAAGAGTGTGTGAACTGCCAGTGGTCCCACCTCTGGCATGAAGAGCTAATGGGCCACACTCCTGGAGAGAGCCCATTTGCATTTTTAGACTGAGGGAGATGGACACTGAGCACTAGTTGTGATTTCTTGGTTCATGGAGCCAAGTTCATGGAGTTAGTCAACTCCATAGACTCATGGCTGAAGAAGATGAGTATTCCTTTAATTGCATTAACAGATGGCTAAACCAGGGAACACGACAGGAGCCCAGGGAAGGGCGATGTGGGATTTCTGCCAGCACCAGGCCTCTTCAGCCCCTGTAGCCAAGGGTCATCCTCCTTAATCCCAATCTATTGCCTCCCAATAAGGCAAGCTCACTCAGACCCACCTGCCATGCTGTGCTGTTGGGACTGACTCAGGTCCTCTTTGCAGATCCTAATCTTCCTGCACCAGGTCCTCGGATGTCAAGTTCTCCGAGCAAGCTCTGTTCTGGGGAGCTGCTATTGCCACCACAGCTTGTTCAGCCACCACTTCTGCTGCCTGTGAGCTTCTGAGACTTCTGCTTGGGGAGTGCCTCATACGTGGCTCATTCCTTCCCTGTCCCCCTCAGGGGCCTGAAGAAGCCATTTGGAAAATCAAATCTGTTCAGACCCCAGAGCTCCAGGGAGCCAAGCACAGGAAGGGAGGAGGGAAGGAAGAGAGAGGAACTGAGGAAGGAAGGGAAGACGGATGGGAGAAAAGGAGAGAGGAGCTCTGTGTTCAGCACTACGGATAGCGCCAGACCTGGCTGGCACTCCCAGAAGGAAAGTAGGTAAGCATTAAGTAACCAACACTGTTGGGGGCCTCCCTGGTGGTACAAGGGGTTAAGATGCAACCTATGAAGCTATCTGCAGCCACTGCAGCACAAGTTCGATCCCCAGCCACAGAGCTACCCACATGGTGCAGCAGACCTCTCTTGACCCACCCCCTGCTCCCCTCAGCAGTGAATTTTACTCTGGCTCTGGTGAATCCTCTCACCCCCCACACCTCTGACCTACACCCCAGTTCTTGTATGCCTAAATAAATAAATCTAAAAAAAAAAAAAGAAACCACCACTATTGAGCATCAACTGTGTGCCAAGTCCTGTGGTGGACAATGTTTATACAACCCACCAGATAAGTATCATTACTATTCCCATTTTATAGACAGGGAAAATACAGCCCAGAGAGTTTAGGCCATTTGACCAAGGACACAGAGCTAGTAAGTTGCAGGCCCAACGGCAGGTCCAAGCTACGTTCATCAGTGCTCATGGATTATTTGACATTATAATAGAGATTTTTCATCTTTTCTTGGGGGAGGGTGTGGATCCTAATGTGATGATAGGCATGATAGAGTAGTAAATTTTAAACTCTTCTCCTCCTACCCAAGTGAAATTAACCTTTAAGTATAGTAAGTATCCACTGTGCGCTAGAGATTTTACATACCCATATCCTTTAACCCTTACAAAAACCTAGTGAAGTGGCTGCTGTATTTCACTTGCTTCACATCGATTTAGTTATTTAATAATATTTATTAAGATCTCTTAAATTTCAGGTGCTGTTTTAGATGCTTGAGATACGCCAATCAAAACAACACCTCGTAGAGTTAACTTTCTTTCTTTTTTTTTATTTTATAGATCTGGGTTTTTTTTTTAAAGATTTATTTATTTATTTATACAAGCACTGGGTACAGTCAGAAGCGTGGGAGGGTGAGAGAATTCACCAGAGCCAGAGCAGGGAGCAGAGCAGGCAGAAAGACCGAAGTACACTGCTGAGGGGAGCAGCGGGCGGCAGGAGAGGTCTGCGCGCCATGTGGGACCCTCCTCCAGTGGCCGGGGGAGCAGCCTAGGATCAAACCAGCGCTGCAGAGGCTGCGGGCAGCTTCGCAACCCAGCGCTCAACCACTGCGCCCTGACTCAAACCCACATAGAGCTAAGTTTCTAACAGGGGTAAGGAGTGGTGGGTAAGTCAACAATCAATAAATATGGCAAATAAGAAGACTAATTTTTTCAATGTTAGAATGTGGTAGTAGGTATTAAAAAGGAGAAAGGAAAGAAGGATGATAATGTAACATTATAACTCAGTATAGGAGTTCTCCATATTGCTATACACTCTTTATAAGCTGTGTAAATTCAATGGCGAAGGGACGCACAGAGAGGATATGTCATACAGTAATTATCTTCTTGTTGGAGATTTTTGTTTAGCCTAATCTTGTTCTGAAAGAATTTAGGGTCCTTGTTGAGGTGCCAAATACATGCCTACATGCTCCCAGATCCATTCCCTGACTTTCCAGACCTGACTGGGCACCCACGAGAGGGGTTATGGAGGGAACTCTCTCCTTCAGGGGACTGACCCTGAAAACCTCACTTCTGATGTTTCCTGCCACTGGTTCTGTGTGAAGCCAGCCAGTAGGAGACACTCACAAGAATTTGGAGGCCAGAAGAAAAAGAGAAGCCAGGAGATTTCAAAGT